GAGGAATATGAATTGTTATGGAAGGACTGGAATTTCTATCCATTATAGAACTTAATATTCATTGATTGATACTTTTCTTTCAGAAGCTAGAATGTTCATGAACATTCTGTGGCATTTCCATTACACATCCTCCCCTCCCCACCATGTCATTGCTGAACTCCAACGGTTATTCGAAGGAAAGGAATTTTCCATGTATAATCTTCAATTATAAAGTTATAGAGTCATAAATTATATTTTACATAAGGCTGAGGTCAGTGTTTGCTTAAAAAAATAACTCCACAACATCAACAGGACTAAATTGCAAGAACATATATTTAAGTTTTAGACATTAATATAAATTTTCAGAAACCTAGCATTTGGAATGCTCCCTTTCCTCCCTATCAGAACTATCCTTTGCCTCTACAGTGTTTCACAGAAATTTGCTCTGTCTGTTCCATTCCTTCACTTCCATGCAGTTTAGATTTTTAAGCATCCAAGGTCAACAAACCATGGGTGTTGCCTCTGCAGATGAATCCCAGACAGTCTCTCTAAACTTTCCCTTCCCTTCCCTTCCCTTCCCTTCCCTTCCCTTCCCTTCCCTTCCCTTCCCTTCTGAGGTCAACCTAGCTTGGTCTTCCCCACTCTGATGTCCTACAGGTACATTTCAGAATTCTCAGCAGCATGGCCATTGGGAGTTGAGACCCCATATATCTGGAAGGAAGTGAGATTGGGGTTGGCTCTCCTAGCATCTTTCACCAATTGCCAGCTCTCATTCTTAGCCTTACTGGTTGAAAAATCTGGGAGTTGGAGTCCCCAAAAGTTCTGGAAAGGCTTTAGGTTGACCTCACTTCTTCTACTGATGGCCATCTCGTATCCAACTGCTGAAATGTAACCTAAGCTCCTCCCTAAAGCACTCCTGAAAGCCCTGATGATGTTTTCTTTCCAAACAGGAAAAGCCAATAATAATCTCCAGTGGGACGAGGACTCCATAGAATATATGCCAGCTGACCCAGTCAGGATTGCTTTTGTCCTGGTTGTCCATGGCAGAGCTTCTCGACAGCTGATGCGCATGTTTAAGGCTATATATCATCAGGATCATTTTTATTACATCCATGTTGACAAGGTAATATATCATCAGTTCTATAGTCTCCAGCTCATGATCTGCTTATCTTGTGCTTCTTTTGTTTTGCAGTCTCAGATATATATCAGAGCTGCATCAACATATTTCTTGT